TTCTCCTTCACATACATTAATTCATCTGTGCTTCAAAAGCCAAAAGAAGAGGAATCCTACCATTTCTCACTGATGGGTAGGGCACGTGTTACCTTAAATTATACCTGAATGTTTGTCTCTGTCCTATGTCCTTGTCCAGAAGACTACTCCCTGGGAAACACAAGCCATGTGCTGCAACTTATAAAATGACAGAGGGAGATACTGAGGCTGCTACTTTAGGTGTACCCATTTCTCCTACAGGAAGTACAGGTTAGCAAGCTCTAGCACTGCCCAGCTATAATAGAACCCCCTCCCACTGGCTAACCAGGAAAACTGTTCTAGAATGACTACTCCCATAAATGCCACCTGCTAGGTTACATTCAGGAAGTTCCCAGAAAATGAAGCAAATAAGTGAGACAAAAGATATTTGATGCCCTTCAATGTTTACAATGTTTACTGAGGAAACAGAACTGGGGGACCCCCAACTCAAAAAGACACGGCGTGGAGCATGGTGACCAATGTCACAGCCCATCTCATCCTGCTTTATGCTGAAGGTCTCTCCATAGGACTCACTGTCTCCCACCCAGCCTGTGGGCAATCCTGGAGAGCAGTGCTCAGCCTCCTTCTCAGCAGCCTCCCCAGAAGAATGCACCAATCTATGGAAGCACATGCCATTCCACTTATGACTTCAGCAAGATCCCACTGCCCAACTTCTACTCTTGGTGGTGTAGGCACATTTTTCATCTGTCTATGGGCAGGCAGGTGCTTTCACACACTGCTATTGGGGGCTCATAATACAACCCCTATGGAAGGCAGTTTAATGATATCTCACAGAATTACAAATGCAGACTCCTATGGACCCAGCAAGCCAGCTTACTGGATGGTATACCGCATGTATATTCATACACGTATGAAATGACATACTTGCAGTTACTTGCAGTGCGGTGCCGCATGTTAGCAAAATAAGGAAATAACCTAAATTCTCAGGAGGTCATAGATTATGGTTCAGCACCTGTAGCACAGTGGTTACGGTGCTAGCCACATACACTGAGGATGGTGGGTTTAAACTCAGCCTGGGCCAGCTAAACAACAATAACAACTGCAACAAAAAACTAGCTGGGTGTTGCAGCAGGCACTTCTAGTCCCAGCTACTTGGGAGGCTGAGGCAAGACAATCGCTTAAGCCCAAGAGTTGGAGGTTGCTGTGATGCCATGGCACTCTACCAAGGGCAACATAGCGAGACTCTTATCTAAAAAAAAAGAAGCTCGTAAGTTAAATAAACTATTTTACATTATATGTACAGTCACACAATGAACTACTACACTGCTATAAGAACAAAGAACAAGTATTTTATGTACCAATAGGGAAAAACCTGCAAGAAATACAGCCAAATGGAAAACAAGCAAGGTATAGATCTGTATTTATGTCGAAATAAGTACCTATCTGAATTATATATGTAAAGGTACAGTACCTCAGGTTGCCTCTGGATGGGAAAAAAGGACGGTGGGTGGCTAAGGACAGGAGGAAAAAGATTTCAGTGCACAGACTTTTGAAGCTATTAGTTTATGAATCGCATAAAATATTACATATTAAAAGTAAGTTATTAAAGTAACAAAAGGCTTGCTCAGGACAGCTTGCCTCCTACTTTGGCAAACGCAGCAGGTCTGGCTAAATGGTTTCAATCTCTGTCAGGCGGACACTGGGGAAAAGTCTGGCCTGAGGCATAGCTATATGACCCTGGACTCCTACCTCTGACTGCTGGTTCTGAACCTGACCCACTGTGGCCTCTGGAGTATCTGCTGAAGTTCAGGCACACACAGTTCCTGCCCACCACAAACACTTTCATCCCAAATCTGCTGCCTGACAGAATGCCTGAGTGTCTCCCTGCTGAGGAGGCAGAGCTAAGTAGGAAGGGCACACACACATGTTCACTTTCTAGGTTGCTCCAGACTTGCCTGGGTTTCTTGGTCACCATTGCCCCCTAGCTTCTTAAAATTCCCACTCCCTCCAGACCTACGATACCACACATCTACACTCACCACAGTGAGTGCTCACTACCTGAATGGGTGCTCATCAATCGGACAGCCTTGGCCTTGGCCAGCTCCAGGGAGGTGATCCACTGCTGTCGTTCCGCCTCTGAGCTGGCCTTGAGGTGGTAGGTCCTTGCCCCACTGACCAGCAAGATACCACAAGTGTCCTCCTTGTCAATGTGCACGGTGGACAGGTTGATGGTTCCACGGCAGGTGTGGGCCATTTCACCCTGATTTCTGTAGGATGCAAAGAAGATACAGGGTGAGGCTTCCAGATTCAAGAAAAAAGCTCCAGACCAAAGACACCCTCTAGGCAAATCCTTAGAATCTCAGCCTCTCAGAGCCAAATGAGACTCGGTGTTCAAGCTGCAAGATGATGTCTATTGGGAATGATTGGTCATGGTTTGTCCGAAGGGGACTCTGAGGCCACATCTGCCCTCCATAGGGTGAGTGGCAGATGTAAGGGGGCCTAAATTAGAGCCATGTGATCTGAGCTCTTGATGATACCAGAAGTGAAGAGGAGTGACTGCCTAGGGTCCCGCAAGACAGAGTAGACCTCAGACTCCATGCTGTACTCTTTCCCTCTTTCCATGAAGTATCAGAAGTACAGGTAGGAGTAGGTTGAGATCCTGCCACTAAAACTGGGATTTGAGGCCCAGAGCCCCAGGGGGTGGCCTCGAGGCATCTCCTTCTAGGAGTGATTCTGGGGCCAGCATCACCCCCAGTGCTGTTCTTTTGTTACTGCAAGACCCACAAGGTGAGGATGCTACAATTCTCCCCTGGCTCCGCAACAGATGAGTGAAAGGTACTGGTGGGCTAACACAGCACTATCTCATGACAAAAGACTATCCTATTTGCTAGTTACAAGATTGTGGAGCTAATGGTATCATGGCAAGGGGAAGCAGAAGTGATTAGAGTGTCAAAGAAAATTCAGAATCCCCAATGATGTAACAAATCTTTCTACAGAGGGCACTGAAAAAGGAAGAGTAGCCATAGTCAATATTTAATATTGCCAATGGGCTGAGCCCAGTGGCTCACACTATAATCCCAGCACTCTGGGAGGCTGAGGCAGGACATTCACTTGAGCTCAGGAGTTTAAGACCAGCCAGAGCAAGGGAGAGAGCCTGTCTCTATTACAAATAGAAAAACTAGACAGGCATTGCAGCAGGCACCTGTAGTCCCACTTACTTGGGAGGTTGAGGCCAAAGGATTGCTTGAATTCCAGAATTTGAGGTTGTTGCAAGTTAGGCTAACACCACAGCACCACTCTAGCCTAGGGCAACAGAGTAAGATTCTGTCTCAAAAAAAAAAAAAAAAAAAGGAAAAAAGAAAGAAAATACTGCCAGTGGCAGCATCTCATCTGGCAATTTTCTGCTATACTTTAGTTCTCATTTATTTTTCCTGGATGTCATTATCTGTCGTTTTCTTGATTCTTCTACCAGTTTTAAAGTCAAATTATGTGAAATTTAAGAAGACATTCACCTTCTTTTGAGCAGCTATTGCCTTTTCTGATTTTCTTTCTGCTTTAGTCACATTCCTTAGAGGAGATGACATACAAACACCTGAAGGAAAGTGCTGTATTTTTCACTTAAAGGAAATTTCCTAATTTATAAAACTAGCATATCTGGGCATGCCTACTGGAAGGCTAATATTTTAGACTTAAGGACATTTTAGGCTAGAGATCATTCAGGTGTCAAATAGTGTAGAGAGATACACCAAAAATGACACTATGGCTTAGCTCAAAAAGAAGACGGGGGTGCCCACTGTTCTAGGTAAAGGGAACATCCAGGAAAAGATCACAAGGAAATGAGGAGTTCATGCCTTTCAAAGAATAGAAAGAAGTTCTGTGGCCAGAATATTGAGAAAAGAATAGATAAGAGAAAAATGAAGCTAGAAAATCATGCAGGGGCTAAAGGCAGCACCTTCCAGGCTACCTTAAGGATTTGGACTCATTCTGAAACTAAAACAGTGAGCATCTGGGGCCTAAAATCAGGAAACAGCAGAGGTAGCCAAGGGTTCCACAGATTCTTGCGGAAAAATAGGGAATAAAAGTGATCTGTATAAGGCAGGAAACGGAAGTCAGGCCACTGGGTAAAATCATGACTGGGTTGGAAGTTACCCAGTGGTGATCATACTGAATTACAATCCATGGAAATACATGAGTCCATACAGATATAAGTAAACAACTGAAAGAAGAAATGAATGTGGGGGAAGGGAGAGATAGTCCTTAACACAAGTAGATAAAATTATGGGCACAGAAAATTACTAAATGCAAGATGGACTCTCTGATTGGATTATAAAATGGACAAAAAAGACTGGAAGAACAAGTGAAATTCTAATAAAGTCTGGACTTCAGTTAATACTGTTAATTTTCTGGTTTTGATAACTGTGATTCGGTGAAGTAAGATGTTAACATTAAGGGAAGCTAGGCAATGAGTATGCAAACTCTACTATTTTTTTTAAGTTTTCTGTAAGTCTAAGATACTTCAAAATTTTTTTTTAAAAAATTAATGCTGCTAAAAAAAAAAATTAATGCTGCTATCATCTTTTTCCAGGATCATAGCTTACATGAAGTCTTATGGCCAGTACCTGAACTCAGCTGCCTTCAGGCTCAGTGCCTGGCAGAAGCTCTAAGTTCCCATCATAGGAACTGGCTTTAGACTGGGCTCCCCAAGGGACTGGGTAAAAGCATTTTAAAAATTACTAGATTACCAAGAGTAGAGTGGTCAGTGAGGCTGAAAGGCGGAGGGAGGACCTTCCAGTCAAGATGAGACCGAAAACTGAAATTCAAAACTCATGAAGACAGTGGCTTACGTCTGTAATCTTGGGAGGCAGAAGTGGGAGGATTCCTTGAGACACAGCTTGAGCAAAAGCAAGACCCTACCTCTATTAAAAATAGAAAAATTAGCCAGACACTGAGGCAGGCACCTGTAGTCCCAGCTACTTGGGAGGCTGAGGCAGGAAAATTGCTTGAATCCAGGAGTTTGGCGGGGCGTTGTGAGCTAGGCTGATGCCTTGGCAGTCTCATCTGGGGCGGCAGAAACTTTGTCTCAAAAATACAAAACAAAACAAAAGAGGCTTGGCACCTGTAGTTCAGTGGTTGTTGTTTGGCAGGCCCAGGCTGAATTCTAACCTGCCAGTTCTCGTTTTAGGCTAGAATGATCTCTAGCTTAAAATGTCCTTAAGTCTAAAATATCAGTAGTAGGCATGCCTAGATATGCTAGTTTTATAAATTAGGAAGTTTCCTTTAAGTGAAAGATACAGCACTTTCCTTCAGGTGTTTATATGTCATCTCCTCTAAGGAATGTGACTAAGGCAGAAGGGAGGCTAGAGTGCCAGCCACATACAACTGAGCTGGCAGGTTAGAATTCAGCCTGGGCCTGCCAAACAACAATGACAACTACAACCAAAAAATAGCGGGCTGTTGTGGCAGGTGCCTGTAGTCACAGATACTTGGGAGGCTGAGGCAAGAGGATCATTTAAGCCCAAGATTTGAAGGTTGCTGTGAGCTGTGATGTCAAAGCACTCTATTAAGGGTGCATAGTGAGACTCTGTCTTAAATAAAAAACAAAACAAAAGAAGCCAACAAAATTAATGCTCAAATGAATAAGTTGAAAATAAGACTAACAGAATATGAAAAGGATTTAGTATAAAAAAAGGTTTAGGATTCTCAAAGATGAAGGAAGGAATAATGTTAATAAAAGGAGTGGGCTCGGCGCCTGTGGCTCAAGCGGCTAAGGCGCCAGCCACATACACCTAAGGTGGCGGGTTCGAATCCCCAGCCCGGCCCGCCAAACAACAATGATGGCTGCAACCAAAAAATGGCCAGGCATTGTGGCGGGCGCCTGTGGTCCCAGCTACTTGGGAGGCGGAGGCAGGAGACTCGCTTGAGCCCAGGAGTTGGAGGTTGCTGTAAGCTGTAATGCCACGGCACTCTACCCAGGGGGACAGCTTGAGGCTCTGTCTCAAAAAAAAAATAATAAAATAAATAAATAAATAAATAAATAAAAAAAGGAGTGGTAATTTAATAAAATAAAAGCTAATAAAAATGAAACAAGTTTATTGCAGCGCAATTCATAATTGCTAAGTCATGGAAGAAGCCCCAGTGACCATCGACCCATGAATGGATCAATAAATTGTGGTATATGTACACCAGGGAATATTATGCAGCCTTAAAGAAAGATGGAGACTTTACCTCTTACATGTGTACATGGATGGAGCTGGAACATATTCTTCTTAGCAAAGTATCTCAAGAATGAAAGAAAAGTATCCGATGTACTCAGTCTTACTATGAAACCAATTATAGCCCAAGAAGAAGAGGAAAGGGGAGCTGGGAGGGAAGGGGAGTGGGGAGGATGGGTGGGGGGAGAGTAGTTGGTGGGACCATACCTACATTGCATCTTACAAGGGTACATGTGAAATTTACTAGGTGTAGAATATAAATGTCTTAACACAATAACTAAGAAAGTGCCGTGAAGGTTATGTTGACCAGTTTGATGAAAGCATTTCAGACTGTGTGTAAAACTAGCACATTGTACTCCATGATTGCATTAATGCACACAGCTATGATTTAATAAAAAAAAAATGAAACAAGAACAGGTAGATATGAAAAAGTACCAACAGTATTTCAGAAAATGAAAATATAGCAGATTAGCTTTTCTAGTCACCCATCACTAAGGTGACCAGATGTCCCGCTTTTGGTGGGACAGTCCTGATTTTTAACAATTTGTCCCGCAGTTTTAAAAAAGTTTCGATTTTTGGAAAGAATGCAGGACAAGTAGGGAACAGCGGGAGAGTGGGAAGGGAATATAAGTTTTCGGCTGCTGAAAAGCTTAATGTAACTCCATTTGGGAATGAAGAGGTTAATGTAACTTCATTTGGAAATGAAAAGGCTAATGTAAACTCCCTACTCCCCTCCTGGGCAAGGTATCAGAAGGAGATGGCTTCCTCCCTTGCTTCTAGGCAAGGACAATTAGCTCAGAAGGAGCCAAACTGTCTGGAACAAACAAGTGCGCCCCCTCCTCTCTAGAGTAAGGTGACCAGATATCCCGCTTTTGGCGGGACAGTCCCGATTTTTAACAATTTGTCCTGTGTCCTGCAGCATTTTATAAAACCCCAATTTTTGGAAAGAATGCACAACAAGCCAGGGAACACGGGAGAACAGGAAGGGTATATACAGTTATCGGCTGCCATGTGGCTATTTCACCAGGATATACGTTTTATATTATTTTTGTTAA